TTCAGTCTTGCCCAACCCTGGCTGTTGTGGCCATCTGGGGAGTGAACTAGTGGATGGAAGATTTCTCTCTCTCTCTGCCTCTGCCTCTCCCTGTCTGTAACTCCACCTTCCAAATAAATAAATAAAATCTCCAGGGGCCGGCGCTGTGGCGCAGTAGGTTAATCTTCCACCTGCGGCTCATCATCCCATATGGGCGCTGGTTCTAGTCTTGGCTGCTCCTTTTCCCATCCAGCTCTCTGCTATGGCCTGGGAAAGCAGTAGAGGATGGCCCAGGCCCTTGGCCCCTGCACCCACGTGGGAGACCCGGAAGAAGCTCCTGGTTTCAGATCGGCACAGCTCTGGCTGTTGTGGCCATTTGGGGAGTAAACCAGCAGACAGAAGACCTTTCTCTCTGTCTCTCCCTCTCACTGTCTGTAACTCTACCTCTCAAATAAATAAATAAATAAATAATCTTTAAAAAAAAATCTCCAAAAAGGAAAAAAAAAAAAAGCAGTCAAACAAAATCCCCCCAAGATGACCAGAAGTTATCTGTTAGCAGAGGTCTGGAACCCAAGACTCATGATCTGTTCTAGAACCCTTGCCCTTACCACACTAGAAATCATAAAAAGTTTCCTGACTGAGCTACGACCACGGCACAGAGGGTTAACTACCACCTGCAACACCAGCATCCTATATGGGCACTGGTTTGAGTCCCGGCTGCTCCACGTCCAATCCAGCTCCCTGTTACTGCACCTGGGAGAGCAGTGTAAGATGGCCCATAAGTGCTTGGGCCCCAGTAGCTAGGTGGGAGACCCGGATGGAGTCCCTGGCTCCAGGCTTTGGTCTGGCCCAGTCCCGGCCATTGCGGCCATTTGGGGAGTGAACCAGCAGATGGAAGATTTCTTTCCGTGTCTCTTTCCCCCTCTCTCTAACTCTGCCTTTCAAATGAGTAAAAACAAATCTCTAAAAATAAATACATAAAACTTCCTGAAGCTGGAGGGTGGAAACAATTATCATCAAAGACAGAAAAGAGGAAGCTGCTTGCCCTGCCGTGTGCAGCAGCCTCGGCCCTGGCCAGACACCCACCCACTGGTAACCCCACCCCCGGTCCCTCACAACACGTGCATTTAATAAAAACTCCACCAGTTCCTCAGAACGAAAAAAGATGACATGTAACGTGTGCAACAGATACCGCGTATGGAAGAGGTAACGAAGGAGTCGCTGCACGGCTCTCTGGAGGCATTCTGGGATCACACAGGAGAACACCTGCAGCAGAGGCAAGGGACAGGCTCAGCCCCCTCTCCGCCACACCACCCACAAGGGACAGGCTCAGCCCCCTCTCCGCCACACCACCCACAAGGGACAGGCTCAGCCCCCTCTCCGCCACACCACCCACAAGGGACAGGCTCAGCTTCCTCTCCGCCACACCACCCGCAAGGGACAGGCTCAGCCTCCTCTCGAGTCACACCACCCGCAAGACAGGCTCAGCCTCCTCTCCGCCACACCCCACGCCGCTGCGGTGACCACAGATGTAGGTTCTGCTTCCACGCCTGGGCAGAGGAGCGACTTAAGGAGGGATAAACAAGAGGGGGTTTCCTTCCACCGCCTTCTTGTGATGCCGACCCTCCATGTCTCCTTTGACCTCCAGACAAGGCACCTGACCCCTCCACGTCTCCCTTGACCCCCGGACGAGGCACCCGACCCCTCCACGTCTCCCTTGACCCCCGGACGAGGCACCCGACCCCTCCACGTCTCCCTTGACCCCCGGAAGAGGCACCCGACCCCTCCACGTCTCCCTTGACCCCCGGACGAGGCACCCGACCCCTCCACGTCTCCCTTGACCCCCGGACGAGGCACCTGACCCCTCCATGTCTCCCTTGACCCCCGGACGCGGCACCCAACTGCTCCATGTCTCTGTTGACCCCCGGACAAGGCACCTACCAGGATCTCAGGGGAGTGAAGGTGAGCACAGGGGATGCTGATGTGAGGGCCGCGCCTTTCCCCGCCCTGAGTTCAGTCCCGGTTCCAAGTCTACCACCGGACCACGGCACATTGGCCCAGACCCCTCCCAGGCCAACCTCCCACCGTGGGCTGCCCGTGTCCACTGTGCTCACTGTCATCCCTGAGGGAGGCTCACACAGCGCCTCTGGGTGGACGCCATTCACATCCATGCCCGGTTACAGCGTCAAATCCGCAGCACAGGAGCCAACCTGAAGGGTGCTCTCTGCGCTCAAAGGAGCATCTCAAGTCTACCGTCGGCAGTAACAGAGCAGAGACAGACTTTGCAATATGCTACCAAGGGCTGGCAACGAAATCAGACGGCGGCTCTTTTTCCGGCCTGTGGGGAGACCGGTGAGTCCTGAAACTTCCCCGGGCACGAGGGTTGGGGGGGGGACCGCGGTTACCTGTGCTCCTCTTCTGACCAGGCCTTGCAGGCGGGGGGTTTTCGAACAGACACAGAGCAGGACAACGCTGGTCAGCACCACAGCCAGGTAGAACAGGAAGAGAACCAGGAACTCCATCCTGGGTGGTGGTGGTGGTGGTGGGGGCTATAGAGGAACAGACAGTGACGGCCTGCCTCCATCCCGTGGCAGGCATTCTCAGCTATCAACTCCCCAAACAGAATGAACCGGGCTCCAAGTACACACCACGGAGCCCTGCTGCCTTTCCTTCGAGGTCAGGGTTGCGATTCTAACACGGCGCCCTGTCTGCCTCTGGGGGGTGGGGGTGGGGGCTCACCCTGCCCGCAGGTTCCCACGGGAAGTGAGGAAGGAAACGTTATTGGCCTTCGACCCCTGCAGCCCCAAATCCTCCTTTTTATCTCCTTGAATGTTCACACAGGTACTGCCACAGGACGTCATGCAGGAGAATCTGCTGACGATGCCATGGGAACGAGGGGCAGCCAGGGGACCCGCACCAGGGATGGGGCACTGCGTCCTATGACGTCATCAGGCTGGCCCGGGGTGAAGAGACTGGAAACGGTTACTTTGGGCCCTCGCAGGAAGCTGTTCACCGCACGAGAAGTGAAACGGAAACGCAGCCTGACGAGGTGACTCAGGGTCCCTCCCTCGGCTGGGTGATTTACGGCCAGCAGCCCTCGTGTGCACGTTCACGGTGAAGTGGGACGGCAGCTCCTCTAGGACAGCGGCGTGCGCCTGGCACAGCAGGTGGCACCCAAGGCGGCTGCAGACATGGTTCGCCCAGGAGGGTGGAGCTGTCTGCAGGACAACACATCGGTCCTGGGCTCACATGAGGAGCCAGAGTAGGCGTCGGTGGGGAAGGATTTGGGAGTGGGGGCTGGTTGGGTTGTACGACTCTGGGAGAGGAATAAAGCCGGGAGGTAGCATGGAGTCACCCACGCAGGGGGACTACACAGGCGGCCCCCCTACCCCGGAGGCTACTCTATCCAAGGCCCCCGTAGTGGGAGGGGACGGGTCCGCAGCAGGCAGTGAGAAGACACCCAAGGCCAGAGCCCATGCGGGGCTGTAGGGGTCAGCAAGCTCGCAGGGGACACAGAGGGCGTCGGGCCTCCATAGCGGGGTGGAGGCAGGACTGTGGCCCCACACGTGAGGGAGGGCCAGAGCGGGGGAGCAGACAGCCCTGGGCCAGTCACGACGGCACACAGCCCCCGCGGAGGCGCCCTTACCGCCAGGTTAGCCCAGCGACCGGCCAGCCACCCGCGGAGCCGGCGGCTCCCCGACTTCCGGCGGCCCCGTGACGTCAGCGCGGCGCCCGAGGCGAGGGCGACTTCCGGCGGAAGTGCTTGATGGCCGCGGCGGGGTTCTGAGCGGGTGGGCAGTGCTTTGTGAGTCCGGAGCTTCCCGTGGAGGGGCTTGCGGGCCGTGGTCGGGTGTGCCCGCTGGGCAGTGGGGTTTTAGGGCACCGAAGACCGTCCTGAGTCTCGCTTGGGAAGAGGAAAACGGACCGAGCCTCCCTGCGGTTTGGGCTCGTGTCCTCGCTGGGGGCGCCCCGGGCGGGTCAGGGGGTCAGGGCCAGGGCCAGGGCAGGCACCCTTAGGGGGCTCGTGAACTGTGCCTGGGTGGTGGGCAGGCCGCGTTCAGCCCAGCACACTGCTGGGGTCCGTGCGAACTGGTCCAGCGTCTTCTGCCGCAGAAACAGGTAGAAAGGCACGGAGTGAGTCAGTGTCCTTGCACCTGCTGGCTCTCGTCCCGCTCAGCGTCCTCCTGGGGACGGGGAGCTGTGAACCTTGAGGATTAAAGGGAAAGCTGTGTGATGACAGGCGGACGCGGGGTGTACAGAGCGCCGGGAAGACCCCTGTGGGCTGTCTCTTCGCTCTGAATACCTCTGCACCTGCTGAGACCGGGCCTATTTTGGATGCCTCTGAAAACCTGAGCCAGGCCTGTCCTTAGGTCGAGGGGAAACGTATGATCTGCAAACACTAGCTTCCTGATTTCTTTTTATAAAGAAAAGTTCCTAACCTAGCCGGACATGTTCCCTTGTATACGTTGTATCCAAGTGCCTCTTGCACCTGCGGCTACAGAACTGGGAAAAAAACGAAACCCCGAAGAGGTGCTGTGAGCAGGGGAAGACGGGAGGAGCCCCGGCGGGATCCCCCAGGGCGAGCCTTCACCGCTGTCTCGGGCTGACACACCGCACTGGTTGACTCAGCTTGTGGTTAAATCTTTCAAATTACCTTTTTGTGGTTCATAAATGCAGAACTGTATTTGTGTCCTCTTTGGTTTTCCTCTACGTGGCTTCGGTTCAGGCCGTCTTTGACTTTTCAGACCTGTCGCAGTTTGTGTGCTGGATTGCCTTTTAATTTTAAAAATTAAAAAAAAAAAAATGCACTTTGGATCCGGCTCGCTGCTAATGCAACTGGGAAAGCAGCAGAGGATGGCCCAGGTACCTGGGCCCCTGCCACCCACAGAGGAGACCCTGATAGAGTCCCAGGCTCCTGGCTTCTCAGGAGCTTCGTCTCTAACTCTTTCAAGTAAATATATAAATCTTTTTTTTTTAAATAGTATGCATGTAATACAATATACTTATTCTCCCCATAAAAGAGTTAAACTACAAAACAAAGCCAAAAGTATCCTTTGACAGACTTAATAACTCGGTTAGTGTGTGTGTACCAAAACACTCTTCCTGCATTTATACCTAGAATATATACCCTTCTATATTTATATAGGAGGATGTGTGTATATATATAAATTCCAGTTTTTGTTACTGCAATTTTGCATTGGAAACACCTGCAGGAGCTTCATTACACAAATTATTTTTCTAGGGTAGCTAAAAGGCAGTGGAATTTCTGGGCCAAAGAGTACACAGGCATTTTTTAAAATTGTAATGAAAAGTTAAATTGCTCGTCAGCTACAGCAATCCAAAAGAACCCATTTCTTCAAAGAGTTCATGAAGTGTCTCTTTGCCTTCTAATGAAATGAAAATATTTTTAAAAGATTTATTTATTTATTTGAAAGAGTTAGAGAAAGGAAGAGACAAAGAGAGCTTCTATCTGCTGATTCACTTCCTGTAATGGTCAGGAGCTTCTTCCAGGTCTCCCATGTGGGTGCAGGGGCACAAACGTGGGCCGTCTTCCATTGCTTTCCCAGGCGCCTTAGCAGGGAGCTGGATCGGAAGTAGGACAGCTGGGATACCGGCATCGCAGGCAGCAGCTTAACTTGCTGTACCGCAGTGCCGGCCATAAATAAATTTCTTAAAAAGGGAGCCGGCATTTGGCACAGTGGTTAAGATGGCTGGCTGCTTGAGATGCCCACATCCCAGGTGGAGTGCCCAGTTTGAATCTGAACTCCACTTCCAATTCCAGCTTCCTGCTAATGAACCCCCTGGGAGGCAGTGGGTGATGACTCAAACACGTGGGTCCCTGTCCTTCCATGGGAATTCTGGATTGAGTTCCAGGCTCCTAGCTTCAGCTTCTTCCTGGGCCATCAGCAGGGAGCTGGACTGAAGCGAAGCAGCCAGGACACGAACCCCACGCCCACGTGGGATGCCGGTGTTGGGGCGGCTTTATCAGCTTTGCCACAGCTGGCCCCTGTTCTGCTGTTTGCCCACTGCATAGGATTGTTACCTTGACCCAATGCATACAGAGTTGGGAGTGTTTTAAGAGCAACTGAAGTCTGGATTTTTATAGCATAAAAAACTGGTTCTTGAATATTGACAGCTAACTTAAAATTGTAAAACCCTGTTTAGGCTGTGCACAACACACCTGTAGGACAGATTTAGCCCAAGGACCACCAGTTTGCAAGTGCAGACTGCTGGGTTGCTAAACATGTACGTGAATCTCAGTTTTTGTTACTGCAGTGTTGCGTTGGAAACACCTGCAGGAGCCTCATTACACAAATGGGTTTTTCTAGGGCAGCTACAACGCAGTAGAATTTCTGGGCCAAAGAGTACACAGGCGTTTTTAAAACTAAAAAAATAATAAATGCAGTTAAATTGCTTGTCAGCCACAACTATCCAAAAGAACCCATTTCTTCAAATCCTTGGCAACATTTAATAGGATTAATTCTTTTAGCATTCACCATTAGGATAGATGAAATGGCATTGTATTTATTTGTTTACTCAACAAATGTTGCTTCGTATGTCTCAGGCGGTGATTTTTTTTTTTTTTAAGATTTATTTATTTATTTGAGAGGCAGAGTTACAGACAGAGAGAGGGAGAGAGGTCTTCCATCCACTAGTTCACTCCCCAAATAGCCACAATTACTGGAGCTGGGGCAGTCTGAAGCCAGGAGCTTCTTCCAGGTCTCCCACGGTGGTACAGGGACCCAAGGACTTGAGCCATCTTTCTCTGCTTTGCCAGGCCATTAGTAGGGAACTGGATGGAAAATGGAGCATCCAGGACTTGAACGGGTGTCCATATAGGATGTTGGCACCACAGGCAGATGCTTAACCTAGTATGCCACAGTGCCAGCCCCAGTGTTCTAAGCACTTTAAAATTTTTCAGTACTTACCATTTAGTCCTTACAGTAACTTTGTAAGGTAGGGATGGTATTGATGATGATGATGATGATGCCACTGTTATTAATAAGGAAACTGAGGCATAGAACCAGAGAGTATCAGCCCAACATTCAAACCCAGGCAGTTGGGCTGAAGACTAAGGCAGAGTTTTGGAGCAAGCGTTTGGTCTTCTGCACGGGAGAGTGCCTGGCCCTGGCTCTCGACCCCAGCTTCCTGCCAAGGCAAACCCTGAGGCAGTGTTGACAGCTCGTGTAAGGGGGTTCCTGCTACCTTCGTGGAGGCCTGGCTTGTGTCCTGAGTTCCTGGCTCCAGCCTTGGCCTAGTCCAGGCCAGTGCAGCCGTTTGGGATGTCAACCAATAGGAGCATTCTCTCTCAACCTCTCGGTCCCTCCCCCTCCCCTGTGTGTGTGTGTGTGTGTGTGTGTGTATCTGCCTCTCAGATAAAGAACCAGTGGGTGCTATGATTACTACTTTGCTGTGCTGTCCTCAGTACTAGCGGCCAATGTCTAATGAGGAGGAGCTTCTCCATGTGTGTGTTAGCTGTTTGTCTTTCCTCCGTTGTGAACTGCTTACTAATACCCTTTGTTCATTCTTAATGGTTGGCTTTGCAGG